CGTCTGCATATTTCAGATCAAACAGTTTACCACCCCGGGAGCAAATCGATGCCGCTATGCTTGCACGAGGATAAGGCTGTTTCTATGGTCAAATCAATAACGAAGTTACACAGAAAAGAAGAGAGAGAGCAACCCTTACGAACAACGCTTTCCGTGGCGAATTCGTACGGAAAAAGAGCCAATAAGCTCTGACTCGATTTCGGTTATGAATACAGAAAGATTATGGGATTGAAACAAAATTCTCCCAGAACGCCTTTCAGGGAAAGGCACAGTTTAAAGCGGTCGAGTAAGTCGAAAGTCCCTATCAGATCGAGGAAGACACAAATGGTGGGTCTAAGAAAGAAGTGTTTGTATTCTAGAATTAGACGATGTGTGAAAATGTGGTGGCTACAACCTCGGAAAGGTTTAAAACCAGCCTGGTTTTCACTCGTGCACACTTCATATGCGCCGGACAATCGATAGGGTAGGGTACTAGCCAGAAGTTTAGACACGATGTTGATTAGACTGATTCTTATTGGATTTTCACAAGAGGATATGTCACCCTGATTGGACCAAGGCTGATTATTTATCCCCGAAATCCGATGGGGACAGCCTGCTCCGGCCTGGGGTCTTTCACTTTTGAGATCACTTATTTCCGGAGTAACCTGTGTTTTAGATGGATGACTGATATCAACTGGCAGCTACCTTGGGAAATGAGAAGTGTAGTGCCGATGCGGACCAGTTGCACTGTCCCCTAATTTGTTCTGTTCATCGCTCAAAACTGTGTTGCTGAATGTGTGTGTTTGTGTATGTCACACACGTTTGAGTTCAGACTGTGTGGTAGCAGTACAATAATCCTTATAAAAAGAGAAAGTTTCATTTGTCGTCGAACTACTTAATTACCTCACCGCAACTTTCCTTGAGCCCGTGCTACTAATTAAACGGAAAAGATCGCGATCATTACCAACAGGCCCAGCCTCCGCGATCTCTTCACATTTAGCTCTCGCGTAACAACAAGCAGGAAGTATATTGAAAAAGTGCAAAGCAACATCAAGAAAGACGAGTCATGTAGCTGTATACGAAAAAGCTAGATAGTACGACAACGTTCAGAATGCCATCAGTCACAGGTACATGGAAACGTTGTACGAAGTACTGTACCCGGCGCAACACGGCTTTCGGTTCAGAGAAAACTGCTAATCTGTGTTCAGAGACCTGAGACAGCAGATCCATTTCAACAAGATGAGCAACCGAAGATGGGGTTCAAATACACACACACACACATGCGAATAGGCTATTGTAGCAGCCTAATCAAAGCTGAACAGGTGGAACTCCTTATATGGATGGGGATGAACAACAGGTAAACATGAGCCGCTTTATTTTCTAAGCAGGAATTGAGTATATAAGGAAAATCTTAGTGCGTAATTCTATATACACACCCACACGCACACACCACAAATTCTGCTAGACGACAGTCTATGAGTAGATATTCAGTTCATGCAGTCCTCTGAAGAAAATGAGTCAGGGATGGAACAAAGCAGAAATCAGTCCCCACACAATACAGGTAGACGAATCGATCGAACAGAGTGAGAGATGGGGTATGGTCCAGAATGGCTGAGTTGAATGATAGAGAAACAGGCGCGAGTTCACTAAACTGTGTGACCGACCGACTGGCTGGCTGGCTAGCAAACCGGCCGGCATCGATCGTGATTGCTTCGTGTCTGAGGGCGTGAACCATGTGAGTAAACGAGTAAATAGCTGACCGCCACTACTACGGCTTAGACGCGCAACTTCGTTTTAAATTAACTCCTACTTCGATGTGAAACAGTGTAAACCTCGAATTATTTCAAGGTGGACTGAAATGATGGAGGGGAAAGATAACTTACCTCTAATCGGTGCCAAAGAGGAGAAGGTTTCCGGTGCACTGAAAACAGTAAAAAGCGTTGTGATTTGGTAACCAATGTAACGAAACAATGAAAAAAACTTCTCCCACGTTCCGGAAGTTGCACAATCAAATGCAATATACCCATCCCAGTAACTGTTGTTTTCCGGCTAAGAAGCCTTAGTATCACTTAGTCCAATTCGCTAAACAACAACAGTCTAACTGAGTCTTGCGATACAATCCGTCACCACAATCACGTGTACAAGGTTAGCTGCAGTCCTCCTTGGATGTGAACTCTGTGGTTTGTATTATTAAGCGATCATTGAATACATAATACACATAATGGCTTGTCGATCTGATAATATGTTGAAATTAAGAAAAGTTAAGTAGCCTTGGTGGGATTCGAAACCACGCATGGACGCCGCCTACGCCTTTGTACAGGGTGCGCTCTACCAACTGATTTACGAAACCACACCGATAGCACTGGTCTTTTCACATTCGACTCAGCTATCCAACTTACAGAAACAGCATGTAAGCTGACTGCCGCGATAGGCTTTCCTTAGAATGCAACATAAAAAGCTTCAATTGGCCAAACAAAAATTACTCATGCAGCCAATGAACCTGAGGAGTAAAACGGTTCGTGACATTTTTCAGCCTTTCTTTTCTTTCTTTTTCCTTATAGGGAATGCATATAAATGATAAAAAAGCATTTTTAGGAAGGGAGACAATCAAGGGGCTGTCATACACCTAAACTGGGGAAGTTAAGCACTGATGGTAGAGTTCGGAAACACGTCCTTCGGGCAATAGGTTGATGACCAAAAACCGTTTGGCCACCAGGGCCATGCAATTTGGGCAGTATACACAAATACAGATGCAGGATACATTGCATCTCAATCTGGGCACTGCTGTGTTGCTGTGACTATCCAATCCGGATCGAGATTGTTATTAGTGAACAATTGAAACGGTTCCCTCGTCGGGGATCTGAAAAGATGAATGGTATCCCCACGGTACTGAGGCCGCACTGGTTACCCCAAACTGGACCCGAGAATACCACCGATTGGTTGTTGCGTAGTGAAGCCGCTTGAATGGAGCCCACTATTTCATTCAGAAATAGAACCCTGATCAGTTTGATGAAGACTGAACGATTGTGTGGCGATTCAAGGGAAATATCTACCTGTCAATGATTTGAGTTGGTACAGTAGACATGTGGAGTGATCGAAAAGGATGAACTATAGGCCTTATTTATTTCAGTAATGCTTTGGGATGATCCCTTTGGTTCGAATATATGACTCATTATCATTATACGTTCCGGAGCTGTAAGCGTGAATCCCGTCGTCAGGCTACAGGAACACGAGATCTAAGTTGGGGAACATGAAGCAGAAGACGACTTGACCCCAATAATAAAATACAGAATAAAGCAAGCATGTTTCTTGGCCAACAGATGTGACCTCGATTGTGAGACAGAACGAACAGCTCATTGTAGGTGATACAAAAAACGCGAAACCTGCACCAACGTGACAGGTGGGTTTATTGAGGAGTTCCGCCTACGTCTATTGGCTTACAAGTGCACCGCAGCGGAACTAGCTGCCGTTGATTTGGGTGTAGCAGTACTGCGAGTTCAATTCGTACACAAAAGAAATTTGGCGATTCGTCAATGTACAGGTTTACTCCTGTCTGACTGTTTATTTTCACCTACGTATAGTCCACTGAATCACCGGTGTTTATAGATAAAAGGCGATGTTTGAAACTTCTTGATGAACGTGGTAATTGCTGTACGCCATTACATCACCGTGGCTCGCCAGAATTAATTGTCACCATTTTTATCGTGTGCCCGAACCAGAGACACACAGAGACAGAAACACGTGACCGATTTGACTCTTTACGTAGTTGTTGTCTGTAAACACTGCAAAGCGTAAGGTGTTTGTGCTTTCGTGAGAATCGATCCGATTTCATCCACCTCTAAACTCTGACAATAACCAGTCTGATGAAACAAAATCACACAGACTAATTGGTGAGCTGTTTGAACCATTGATCAACATCGC